AGCATTCAATATTATCAGTTAAACTTTGGGCCTCTTATTATCTGCATTCCACAAACTAAATGTAATAATTTTTGTTTTTATTTCTTGACATCCATGTGATTATACAACTTATTGCTTATTTCATTCATTTGTTTAGAAAAATATGCCTTTTCTTAAGAGATTGACTTTCTTAAACTTTGCTATCAATTAAACAGTTGCTTCCATTGCATTTGGAAAGTTAATATTTCTGTGTGGCACTTGAATTTATGTGCTGTAACTTTATTATAAATATAATAGGTATTCATTTTTTAGCCCTGTAAAGACAGCAAAAACAAAAATACAAAATTATACATAATGCTCATACTTAGGGATAAATACTTGTAACATTTTTGTATTCATTCATTCTTGCATTCTCTCTCAAATTTAGGAGCCTATTACTTCATTGTAATGTCTTCTGGTCATTTTAATTTTACTCTTGGCTTTCTTTATTTCAAGTCTATGTTTTAAAATAATTAAGCTTCATATTGTTATACATTCCTGATGGACTTTTCCTTTTATAATTAAGTAGTGTTTCTCTTCATCCTATAAACATTTATGACTTTCTATTCCACTCTTCTTACATTAGCACTACTTTATCATTTTGTCACTTTGAGTAGTGTTTGTTTTGTATAAACTCAGCAAGAAAAAATTTATACCCAAAAGAAAAGGATGAAGGGTTAAAAACAATAGTAGGCAGAGATGGTAGTGAAATATAATTGTGATTTTTTAACCTACTATGGAATAGTAAAACACAACCCGCTCATTTTTGTCTTTAAAACAAAGTGGAACTAAAATTCTAGACAAACAATGGAAGTATACATTTTCCCTTTTCTTTATTTTCAACGTTTCTAAATTAATTTATCTAGGTGTATCTTTTGTGTTTTTTTATCCTGTATGATAGTGTTTGTCTTTTCAGAGGTCAATTTATACCAGTGGCATTTACTGTGATTCCTGACATATTTGGGCATGTTTCTTCCACATTATTTTCTGTCATCTATGAGTCATGCCTTTTCTTGGTTTGACTTAGTCTCCTTTTCTTCTTCTCCTTCTGATTGATAGAGTTCTAGTCCCTCTTTTTTCTTTTTCTCTTGCTTCTTTGGAGACTTTGCCTTTAAATCTATTCTATTAATTACATTTTCACATATGTGTTGAACCATATATTTTTCTGCCCATGTTTGTAGTTACTCAGTATTTGTCATCTTCCTGTTTACAGTAAAGAGCTTAGCATGTTTTAACTATGTGCTGAACTTCTTCCCTGAACTTTCATCTTCTTTTGTTTGTCTAGAATGTTAGTTCCACTTTGTTTTAATGACAAAAATGAGTGGTTTGTGTTTTACTATTACATAGTAGGTTAAAAAATCACAGTTATATTTCACCACCATCTCTGCCTACTATTGTTTTTAACCCTTCACCCCTTTCTTTTGGGTATAAATTTTTTTCTTACTGAGTTTATATACTTCAGCAATGGTTTCAGAGATCTGAGTGGTAAACACTCTCACCATTCATTTGTGTCTTTATTTTGTCTTCATTTAAAAATGATTATCTATAGTTATTTTTTTCTCAGCCCTTTAAAGATATTAGTCTATTGCCTTTTGGTATCAATTGTTGCTGAATAATATCAGGTCACCCTAACTGGCATTCCTATTAGGGTAACTGATCTTTTCTTTCTAGTTGGGCTTAAGATTTTATTTTGTCTTTAACGTTCTATAGTTTTAATCCAATGTATCTAATGACCAATTTATCTTTCTCTTTATCTGGCTTGATGCTTGGTGGGAACTTTCAACCTGAATATTCGCTTTTTTATTTTCAGTTTTGAAAAATGATCAGGTATTTATCCCTTTACACATTACTTCTAGGCCAGTCCCTCTAGTTTATTTTTCTGGAACTCCTATTAAAAACATATTGGTGCCTGTCAATCTACACTTTATGTCTCTTAACTATTCTTTAATACCTCTAACTTCTTTATTTCTTTGTCCTGTATTCTGTATATTTTAATGGTTATTTAAGTGGAAAGTTGGGAAAAGGAGGGCCTTGACACTTATATACAAAAGATGTCATTTTACCTAAAAATTCTGCTCTCTTTCAACCTTCTTAAAAAATTTATGATTTTTGTAAGAGGCCTCAGAAACACAGTTTAGCTCAATTAAACAATACATCAGTCAATGTGCTAACCCTGGGGATAGAGAGGTCTAAGACATAGTCCCTGGCCCCAAAGCTCAAGGTTTTTATAAGTGAATGTGAGACAAAGACAAAAACAGATCATTTAAATAGCATCTGTATGACAAGTGCTGTAAGAGTGACATATATAGGATGACCTAAGGTTAAGGAAAAGGGCATTTGGGTCTGTCAAATAAGTCAAGGAAGTTGGGGAGAAATGACACTTAAATTGAATTTTAAGAAAAGAATAACATTGATGAGAGAGATATGGGCTAAGTGGAATACTCCCAACCACCATTTTCTCTTACTCTCAGCAGATGAGATTGCCTTTGAATTTATTGAAAATATAAGGTTCGTTTAGATAGTGGATGCATTTTTTGTGGGCAATGTGCCAGTTTTTTCTGGGTGTTTCATGAAGCTGTCACCCCCTCCCCTGCATCTAAAACATTGTTCATATTATTTATTTGACTTTCGTCTGCACCTTACATTTTAACTAAAATGACCATATAATTCATTGTCTAAGCTCAGGCATTTTTGGAAGTATAAGGGGCATTATTAATAAATTAGCCAGGAAAGTAGGCATAACTGATTATTTATAGCTGATCACTTTATGTATCTATCCTACTTTGTTATTTGGATTGTGCTTAATAAGGCAGAATTTTGCCTCTTGTCAACTCATTGTCTGTTACATGGAAAACAGTAAATAGATTTCTGATAAATAATAATAATGACAACAAAGTGGTGATAATGACAATTATTTTAAATGAGTTTATGCAATGGGGTAGATTTCCAGACTCACCTGAATACAGCTTCTGGCACTTTCTTTCTCACACCACCCAGCCCTAGGGGGACTTGGACCCTGCCCCTTTTGCTTTGGGTTTCCTGAAGCATTGAGGAGGGGTGCATCCCATCTCAACCCATTGTCTTCCTTTCTAACTCCTTTTCCTTCCCCACCTCTTATAATCCAGGTGACCCTTATTTCATAGGAGGGCAGGAAGAGAGAAGGGACAACTTCTACAGGCTCTCCTGCTGGTGTCTTTCTTTTTGTGAAACACACACACACCAACAAAACAGCAATATAACAGCTATGTGAGGTAATTCACATACCACGCCACCATGCACTCTACCCACTTAATGTGTGCAATTCATAGCATACATTCAACATCAGAATAAATTTTTGTAACATTTTCATTACACCTAAAAGAAATCCTGTACCCCTTCGCTATCCATCACCCCCTAATCCCTCCATCCTCTCCCCCAGTCCTAGGCAATCACTAGTGTACTTTCTGGCTTTATACATTTGCTTATTCTGGACATTTCAATGCAAATGGAATTGCACTGTATGTTGTTCTGAAGACTGGCCTCTTTCACTTCATTGTTTCCAGGTTTCATCCATGTTGTAGCATGTTTCAGTACTTCATTCCTTTTTATTGTCAAATACTATTCCATTAGATGGATATACCAAATTTTGTTTTTACATTAATTGTTGGCAGACACTTGGGTTCCTTCCAGTTTGGGGCTATTGTTGAATAATGCTGCTATGCACATAGGTGTACAAATATCTATATGAATCTCTGTTTTCAGTACTTTTGGGTATACATCCAAAAGCTGGATTGCTAGATCATATGGTTATCCTATGTTTAATTTTTTGAGGGACCACCATACTGTTCTCAACGGTGGCTACACCATTTTACATTCCTATCAGAAATGCACAAAGGTTTTAATTTTTCCACCACCTCCCCAAGATTTGTTATCATTTTTATTATTATTATAGCCATTCTAGCATGTGTGAAGTAATTATTGTGGTTTTGATTTATGTTTCCCTAATAGTTAATGATATCAAGCATCTATTCATATACTTATTGTCCATTCTTTGAGAAAATGTCTGTTCAGATCCCTTGCTCATTTTTTATTTAAGACTTTTGTCTCTTATTAATGAATCATTTTCTACTCTACATATGCAGATGTGAATTCTTTATACATCTGATGAAGCTTAAAGTTTGAAGTATTTTATTTTCAAGAACCCCTACTAAGACCCTCAGAGGGTTCTAGCAATGTGTTTATATGAACATACATTATCATGAAAGTTGGGGAAAATTATTTTTAAACAACAGTTGTTAAGATTGCTACTCTTTCCACTAAGACTTCCCTCTGCGTTGATTGGTGTTAGGTGGCCCATGGATATTTTATATTCATTTTTTTATTTTGTTTTATGCTTAAAGGGGTCCCCAAATTATATAACTTTGGGCTTCACATAAAATGAGTAGATCTGCCCCTACTTATATAAAATAAATTCTAAGTCCTTTTTTTTTTTTGACACCTGAACTAAAGTAAGCCATGAGATTGGGGGTACAAATAAGCCAGGTGGGGGTACTGCTGAGGCAGAGGCCTGAAGGCAGGAGTGTGCTCAGTATTTGCAGATCTCAGTAATTGCAGGGGGCCCAGTGGCTGGAGTGAGCACAGGACGGCAGGCAGAGGTGCAAAAGGTGAAGGATCTTCTTCTAGCCATACAAGAGTTCAGATTCTCTTTCCAGTGCAGTTAGCTGCCTTTTGAGCATTTAGGAGAGAACCCATCAGATTATCACATCTTCCAAAGATGCCTCCTGGCTGCCACCGGGAAGGTTTCTGAGAGCTTCTCTTTTGATTCTCAAATGCCTCGCTTGGAAGTAGAAACAAAATTCTCTAGGCAAAATCATCCTTCCTTTAGGCAAATGGTATGGGGAGTATAATTCTCATTCAGGTGTGTGGTGACTTCTGACTGCCTATAGAAGTGTTAGTAAACAACATTCTAGAATGTTCTCATTTTATTTCTCCTCTCCTTTCAGCTCCTGTCATCACCACTCCTCTGGAAACAGTGGATGCCTTAGTGGAAGAAGTGGCCACTTTCATGTGTGCAGTGGAATCTTATCCCCAGCCTGAAATTTCCTGGACCAGAAATAAAATTCTCATTAAGTAAGTATTCTGCCTTTTTCTGGTAAGAATGCCCACTCCTGCTTTGTAATTGATCTTTGTCATAAATGTCATAACAGCTCTTGGCAGTACAAAAGTTCACCTAGAATACCTAAAATGCAAATTTCTCCATTCTATAAATACAAGATCTTCAACGAGGTTAGGAGAATTGCTCAAAGCCAAACAGTGATTTAATTGACAAGGGGAAGCCAGACCAATTTCAGGGATCACAGATGAGGACCCCAGATAGGGCCTGGGGGAAGTTTGACAGTCATTAGGAAGCACCATGATATCCTGAGTTTGAGGCTCATGTTCCAGGACATGCAGGGGAATTCACAGGGACCAGCCTCTTCTGTACTTCTGATATCCCAAATAAAGTGAAGTATGTTGTCTAGGAATCTGGCCTCTAGGGCTGACTTTTTCTTCTGAAAATCAGAAAAGACTCCTGACCTATAGTGAGGCAGCCTCCAAACAGATAAAATTCCCATTTGGCATATAAAGGTTGTGCTGTCCTTTCCTCATTACAATAGTTATAATCAAAATTGATCAAAAATACTCTAAAAAATCTATAGCAAAGGACAACACTGGCTTCCAAGCAAACAATATGGCTTGCATTAGGGGTAGAGGGCTTACACTGGCACCTTTAGACAGGGGTCCGTGAACTGGGATGGGGAAAAAATTACATCCTTCTTTTCACTCACCTCTGACTGAAATTTAAGGTGTTCTTCTTTTATATATGTTATAATATGGATTACCCTGTGCTGTCCCAGAATAGGAAGGCTCAAATTAAGAGGCTTGAAGAGAAGTTTATTAAATCAATTTAAAATACATCAAAACAAGGAGAAAGAAGTGGGTAAGTTAGGAATCTTCATTGACTCCATGTTTCTATGTTCAGTCTCTCTCTCATGTGTCAGACTCCCCCACCGGGCTATTCTTACAAAGACCAGAGGTGCTGTTGAGCAAGGACGTATAGGTAAAGGGTCCTCGAAGCCAATGGCATATTCTTGCCCTGTTGGAGGGGTGCAGTAACAAGTATACCTGGCCACGGCTTGGCTTGCAGTTAGCCTGCTCAACAGACATTGATTTTAAGTGTGTTTCTTTGGTAGAGTGCATGGGACCACAGTGGGACCATATTGCATGTTACCTATGATTTTAGTTAATAATGTATCAATATTGGGTCATTAATTATAATTAATGTACCACACTAATCTAAGATGTTAACAATAGCAGATACTGATGTGGTGGATATATGGGAATAATCTATAGTATCTTCTCAATTTTTCTATAAATCTACAACTGTTCTTAAAAGTTTTCTATTTTAAAAATTATCAATACTTGAGTATTTCTCATGCAACAGATTATAAGTCTGGAAAACTTTATATTTTCCAGAATGGCTGAACTCTTGGCCCACAAGGACAACTGTAAAATACTCCAAAGTTTATATTTTTTCCATGAAAACTTAATGTTTTCCATGAAAACTTGTTATTTAATGTGATTTAATGAACTACCCAGGATTGTATTATCCTCCTTGCATTAGATCAAAATTTCATACATCTCTTTGTTCCTCTTAAAGATCAATATATGAAGGTAGCCACTTACCAAGATTAGAAAATCAAGAATCTGTCTCCTTTCCTTTTTTTGTTTTCACATTGCATTAGTTTCCTATTTCTACTGTAACAAATTACTGCAAACTTAGTGGCTTGAAACAACACAAATTTATTATCTTAAAGTTCTGGAGGTCAAAAGTCTGGAACAGGTCTCTCTGAGCTAAGATCAAGGTGTTGACAGGGGGCATTCTTGCTGGAGGCACTAGAGAACAATCTGATTTCTTATCTTCTCCAGCTTCTGGGGGTTGCCTGCATTCCTTGGTCCCTTCCTCCATTTTCAAAGCTAACAGTCACATCACTCCGCCCTCTGCCTCCATTTAACACCTCTCCTTCTCTGATTTCTTCTGCTTTCCTCTTCCATTTTTTTAAGGAACCTTGTGATTACATTGGGCCCATCTGGATAAGCCATGATACTCTATTTTAAAATCTTTGACATCTGCAAAATCCCTTTTGCCACTTAAGGTAACATATGTACAGGTTCTAGCCATTAAGACATGGATTTGGGGGGACCATTATTCTGCCTAATATACACATTTTGCCTAAAGAATCTTTATTTGGTCATAAAACTCACTTTTATATTGATGCTTCCCTCAAGGATTCTGTTTCCCCAATTCCCTCCACAACGGTTTGCTTGTAACTTAATGAGATAATACACATAACACACAATTTTACATCTTGAAGCTGTTTTGTATCCCTAAGTATACCAAGGAACTACAACTGTGCCTGACACTTATTAGGCACTCAAGTAATATTTGTTTAATAATGAATAAATACTATTAATTGTTAGTTACTTCTACAAATATTTAAGTCTTTCTGCCAGTCACATTTATGTGTGTGCCTGTTCATTATCTGGCTACTACTTCCCAGTAATTATAGGGAGAAGACTCATATAACTTGGTTATAACATACCTTCCTGAACAAACTTTACATTTGGTCTTATCCATGGACATCAACTTTTGAAAGCATTTTTGAAGTACCTAGTACTTTGATTATTGGAGCCTAGGAAAGATTCAAATGTAATGTTAGTTTTCTATTACCAAATAAGGTTGTTCTATTATTCAGAACTCATTCGGGTTTCCTCTTACTCTGCATCTACTTCCTCCACCTGGCAAGTCATCTGTTTGATCCGTTTAACCATAGCAGGAAAATCTCACATGTGCCCCTAACCTGCCACCTTGCTCTGTGCCCTGCAGGCTCTTTGACACCCGGTACAGCATTCGGGAGAATGGGCAGCTCCTCACCATCCTGAGCGTGGAGGACAGTGATGATGGCATCTACTGCTGCATAGCCAACAATGGCGTAGGAGGAGCTGCGGAGAGTTGTGGAGCTCTGCAAGTGAAGATGAGTGAGTGGGGGCAACGATCATCTCCCAATTTGAAAGTTGACTTGGTACACGTTGAAGCAGGCAGTAGAGCCTCCTGCTTACCGGAAGGTTCGGCAGTCGTTCAGTTCAAAACACAGCCTTGAGGCAGTTCAGCCCACACCTCCTATTTCTGCCATTAACTAAAGGCAAGCCTTTAATGCACTATCCATTCCCATTTTCTTGCCTTTATGCAGATCTTTATTTACTCCACTCTGACTTCTTTCCGCAAGGGAATTCCCTCTAAAATCTTTTCCCTGTGTCTTTAAAACAATTTTGGTAGAACCCAACATACTTTTTATCTCTAACCTCTTTGCAGACACTTCTGCCCTTTTGACTTATTTCAAACTTGATTTTCCTGAGCGACTTTTCAAACCTGATTGACACCTCTGCTTAACTGGAAGCTATTTCTTTTCTCCACTTCATGTCTACAAACCTGCCAGCACCCATGGTTAATCTCCTAGCCCTTGTTGCTGCTTTTAAGCCATTGTGTTTTGCATTCCTGTGCAAAATCTTTCATTTCATGAAGGTTTTTCCTATTCTAATCATTCCGTCCTTCACTCTATTCATAAAGTCCTCTACTCATTCTAGGCACACACTGCATCCCCACTATTTTTCAAAGACTTTGATTCCAGACTCATTATCTTTCTCTCCACCCCTCCTCCTACCATCATCTACACGGATTTGAACAGCCATGAAACAAAGCCACTAGCCACTTCATCTTTACACCTCTGACCTCCGCAAGTCCACTGATGTTTACTTGAACTCTTTATCAGCCTACCCGATTAATGACCTTGTCACCCCCAGGAAGTGGCCTGTATTTGAAATCTTAAGTTCCACACTCTAAACATGGACACTTTTATATCCAATTCTGATGAAGAAGGCAGCTTCCCACACTCATGATCAGCCTCCACATAGAAGGCACAAACTCCATCTGTCTCTCAGCTAGAACAGAGTCCAGCTCTCTGGCCCCTCACTCCCACTGCATAGCCATCACCAACATAATCAAGTTCTCTGGTCCTTAACTCCTCTCTGCTCTCCCTTCCACTGACCCCCATCAGGACCTCATTTAATTCTCTGTTCTCATAGATGTCTCTTCTACCCGGGGTTATATCATCACGTATTCATTTACCAGCATCCTCAAATCTCATGGGCTGTATGCACTTGCTGCTGCAAACTGTGGACCTTGCAATAATGTAATCTTTATTTTATTTTCTCTGACACCACACTGCAGAGCAGGAAAGTCACATAAACATGCATACTGTGCCACACAAATGAGTGGAGTCCACTTCCACCTGGGTCCTTTTTTGTTAGTTTTGTTGTCATCGATTTTCATCACTGTCTCTTGTATCTTTCATCTTTCTGTTTTGTTGTTATTGTTTGGCTGGAAGTCATTAGCTTCTTCTTTTCAGAGGGTGAGCACATGACATATGGCTTCTGAATCTTTGCATGGCTGAAAGCCTTTATGTGGTTCTCACTCTTGGACAATAACTTGTCTAGATTCAGATGAGGGTTTAAAAGGCTTTTCCCTTAGCTTTTAGTAGACAGTTATTCATTGTCATATGACACTCTTAACGTTGCAGATGAAAAGTTTTTTCTTATTCCCTTACAGGTAGATCTGATGTTTTATCTCCTAAAATTTTTAGGATTTTGCTCTATTTCTAAAATTCATAAATTTCTCAAATTGACAAGAATATGTTTGCTAGGTGTTTTTTTTTATTATTCCCACTTAGCTTTAGGTGGGCCTCTTAATCGAAAAACCAAGGTTTTTTTTTTCTTTTTTCAAAATGAGGTACACTTTTTTCTGTTTTTCTTCCTCTTCATTCTATCTCATTCTTAAACTTTTAATGAACAACTATTACACTTCTTTTTTCAAGTCCATTTTTTTCTTATGTTTTTTACATCTCAATCTTGATATTCTACCTTCTTAGAGATTTATTTAACTTTGCCTTCCATGTCATGAATTCAGTCTTCATTATGCCCTTATTTTGAGTACTGTGATCTGAAAACCTCTATTTTTAATTTCTGAGAATCACCTCTTCTCTGGTTGTTCCCTTTTTCATAGCACACTGTGTTGTATAATGCAATAGTCATGGCAAGTTGAACGATAGCAGTAATGCGTTTTTAGAAACATTTTCTTTTCCCCACTGTATTCCTGTTTTCCTCATGATAAGCTTTGATTCGATGTCATTCTTCTCTCTCCTGTTCATGTTTTTGTCCACTGTGTGTTAATCTTTTGTGTTTGATCATATTTGAGAATGAAGTTTTAGATTAATTAGGACAGGTACGTAGTGGGGCTGGTGGCACATTGTGGGCAAGCTGGTGGGGTGGGCACGGCGTGTTCTGTGAGTAAGGAGGTAGGGCTGAACCCACTAGCAGCCTATTTTTCAGCATGTAGGGCAGTGAGACATCAAGTCAGGAAGCTGGGATGAGCTCTTTGCTCCGCGATGCAGGCTTGATTCTGAAGCCAGAGCACGTTCAAGTCTTCCACTTGTTTGTGGTGCTTCCTTTCCTTTGGCTGTTTCTCATATTCTCTCTGGCACCAAATGTTCTTTACTTTGGTTCTATAGTAAACTCTCTTCTTTTCTTCTTTCCACTCCTCTTCCCTCCACCCTCTCTTTAGGAAAACTCACCCATTCATGCGGCATACTCATGTGGCCATCCAATTGCTAAAGTGTCAGGCTGTCACTGAGAACCCCAAGACCCATGCCTGCTTCACTTCCAACCACCCTAGGGCCTCCACCAGGAGCTCCCTCCCCCAGCCTCGTGATGGCCCACCAGCAAGGGCTCAATGCTGGCAGGAAGATACTTGCAGAATCCTGCCTCAGCAAAATGACCACTTTGGATTAGTCAGTGTGCTTACCTTCACCTGAATTGAGTTCCCTTAGAGTGGGAAGTCCATGACTCTGCACCAATATGCAATTCATTTCTAGCTCATTTTATATTCAATTTCCATCAAGGGTTCTCCTCACCCCTGACCCAGCAGATGACCAAGACATCTATTTCACTGAGAAGATAGGAGTTAGTTGCCTTACCCAAAGGTTTTCTCCCTGAGACATTATCTGTGATTCAGGTTTGTCATAGGAATCAGTTCACAGAACCCAGTGGAAGGAATGGATAATGCACCTCCCGACTATATTATCGGAATGTCAACTCCCAAGCTTTTGCCAGCAGTTGTATGTCAATCCAACTCACAGTTGAGGTGCCTGGTCTTTATCTAAATGTAGGTATTCACCATTGTTGATTTGGAGAATTGTATGCTTTAGATAGCAGGCAAAGTAACAAAGCTGACATTTCCTATAACATATTTAAAGCCTGTCTTATATTTTTGCCACAACGCAGGCTCATACCAACTCTAAATGGCAATGAATGTTTAGATTAAAAATCAGTAGACCATGCAGCCTTTGCAAATATCACTTACAACCACCATGAAACCATTCCTCTCCACACACACACACATACACACACACACACACACACACACACACACACACAATTACAGTGGAAGGGAAAACATCCTTATGCCATGCTCACCTCTGTCAAAGTAACAAATTGACTATGGTGCATGACCTAAAGAAATAAGATGCCTCCATTTCTCAGTAATCTCTCCTGCAAAGACAGCCCCCCCTTTTTTTTGTATCTATCACATAAGATTATAAAGGAAATAAATGTGGTTTTCATTATTTTATGAATGTTTCAAGTAGTAAAATAACTGGCATCCAAAAATTCTATACAAATTTAATAACTTCTTCTGAAAGCTTATTGTAGGAGAATAACAATTAGCTGACATTAGCTATTTCTTCTGAAAGAATTAAGAGTGTTTCACCAAACAGTAAATTACAAAAGTTCGCTTTGCTGAGTACTGTCATTCTAACTTGTATGACAGAATTTCTCTCATTGCTAAAGTAGTAACATCTGGTTAACTTTCTAGAGGATAAACGTATCTGATTCTTAATCCCCAAATCCAATAGTTGAATTAAGAGGAAAACTAAAGGAAAAGTAGGTCATAGCTCAGAACTGTATAAAAAATATAAACTTACAACAAAAATGTCTTTTCAAATGTTTTCATGTCTGTTAGTCTGATTTAAATAATGTTGAATTGTTCTGGTGACAGCTTGTTTTTATCAACTTTTAATTAACCACCTTTTAAAGTGAAGAATACTATAACTTCAAATTCCTACTATGTTTCATGAATTTGTTTTTAAGTAAGATATTAACATATCTTATTAATAATACAATTATTAGAATATTAATATTGTATGTTATTAATATATAATAAATATAAAACAGAAGTAACCTGAACTTTTAAAAATAATTTATCTTTGATAACCTCTAATAACCTGTCTTAGCCTTTGGTGAATTTTGTAATGTAATATATTATTCTTCCAGAAGATATTTAGATTAAATAGAAAGTTAATACCTCTAAGTTTAATACACCCATATTGTCTTTTTCATTTTAAATTTTTCTTCCCCCTTAGAACCTAAGATAACTCGTCCTCCCATAAATGTAAAAATAATAGAAGGACTAAAGGCAGTTCTACCATGTACTACCATGGGCAACCCCAAACCCTCAGTATCATGGATTAAGGGGGACAATGCTCTCAGGGTAAGTGATTTCTTATATAAAACACAATATGTATATACAACAGATTTTCAAATACAACAATCCTTTGCAAATTCAGTGACATGACTAAAAATTTCTAGCAAAATATTTTTTATGTATCCAACATTTTAACCAAACTTAACTCTTTCTGTTTCCGTATACACGAACTGCAATGCATTCCAGCTGTGGCTAGCTAGGAAAAAAGAGAAATGAAACCAGTCGTTCTTTTTAGGGATGGAAAAGGAGTGAAACAAAGGCAAAGCAGGAGTCTTTTTCTGTTGGTTGGTTGGTTGGTTGGTTGGCTAGTTAGTTGAATCTTTTACTGCTTACTATGGAATCTTTGAGACTTTGGAGAAAGGAAAGACGGAACTAAAATTCAGGCATTAGCCCTGACAGTTTCTGGAAGGAGAGGGAGAAATGAGGTTTGGAAGAAAGGGAGTGAGGACACGCTGGAGTGAAGTCAGCGTGAAGACTTAAGGCTGGTGAACAAGCACCTTGACAAATACCTCAGCCACAAAGAGGAGTCAAATTAAACATGGATTATTCATGCATATCTTACACTGCGTCTTCATCTTTCACCTACATGTACTGGTAAATCGTAACACCGCCTCCTCACGGTCTCTTTGCATCCTTTCTCACCTCTGTGAACACCGTGAGGCCGCAGACATTGTGGTTTTCATTTACTGTGCTCGGAATATTCCACGAAGAATATACAGGTGTTGATATATGTCAATTAACTGAAATGGAGTCTAAAACTGATTAGCTCTGTTTTATTTAAAATAAAACACATAGTGTTGTTTACAGCAACCTATATAATTCTCCAATTTTGCTTTTGCCATAAATATTGATGTATTTCCTACAATGAAAATAAGGGTGGCTTTTTGTATGACATGAACTATAGAGTCCCAGAAAAGAAGATAGATGTAATATTTTAACTTCAAAGACCAATTTTTGTATTAATTGTAGAATTTTCCAATTTTTCCAAATACACATATCCCCCTAAGGATACTTTTATCTTGTGTGCTTTAAATAGGGTATTTCAAAGCGATGCTTTGAATTAAACAGACTTGAGTGTGACTTTCAGGAAATCAAAAAAGCCTTGGTGTCCCCATGTGATAAAAGAAAATAAAAATAAGCTATATTTTATGGGATCAGTGTTAAAACGACTTTAAGTGATCTTGTACTGTCTCATTTAATACTGTATGTTACACATAATAAAAGCCAAATAAATGTTCCAGTGATATTTTTGATGATAACACTGATGATGATGAGATGAAAAATGGCAAATAGGTGCTTGATAAAGCCATGGACATTTAAAAATGCATGTTCCTATCCCTGGCAGGAAAATTCCCGCATTGCAGTTCTTGAATCTGGGAGTTTAAGGATTCATAATGTGCAGAAGGAAGATGCTGGACATTATCGATGTGTGGCAAAAAACAGCCTCGGGATGGCATATTCTAAGCTGGTGAAGCTGGAAGTTGAGGGTAAGGAACTGCACCCCTCTCCCTAGAGTGTCACCAGAGGGCCTCACCTTCTGTGCTCTGAAGGCCGGACTTTGGCAGAGATGTACTTAGTCCAGTTCCCTCAACTGTCCCAGATATTAGGCCAGCAGGGCAAAGCTATGAAAAGAAGAATTAAAAAGAGAAAGAAGTTTTCACCAGTAGAGTAAGTGCACGATCCATCCACAATCACTGGCAATTTTGTCCAAAACAGACTAACTTCATTATAATACTAAAACAATAGGACATCATTTTACAACTTTGGCCTGGCTTGGGCAATTCTCCCTTGAATATAAATTTAAAACCATTCATTTAATCTTTCTCAGCATGTAGACCTGACTTTTAAAAAGAGATTTTAAAAAAAGAAGTAACATTTTTCAGATTGTATTCTGTTACAAAGGGTCGAGAGAAATAAAATACTGACTCAAATGTATAACCAAAAATTGTCCTAGTTTTATGAGGTCCACTGTCAAAATACTGTTCAGTTTTTATTATGTTCTTTAAAGTTCATCAGTTCAACCACTAGTGGTCTTCACTGAGAAATCAGAATCCAGAAAATTCTAGGTGTTCCTGTTCATTTGGCTGTCACATCCTTCTTGACCTAAAATTGCGTCATATTTTTCTTAAAAATAGAAACCACCAGCACGCCTGTGCTAGGTAAACACACTAAGTGTAAACAAACCTCTTCCCAGTTCTTCCTGTTATAAAACTACAGTGTTAACCTCTGGCTCCCAGTTTTCTTATCCACGAAGTGGTGTTTGCTGTACACACACACACACACAATTACAGTGGAAGGGAAAACATCCTTATGCCATGCTCACCTCTGTCAAAGTAACAAATTGACTATGGTGCATGACCTAAAGAAATAAGATGCCTCCATTTCTCAGTAATCTCTCCTGCAAAGACAGTCCCCCCTTTTTTTGTATCTATCACATAAGATTATAAAGGAAATAAATGTGGTTTTCATTATTTTATGAATGTTTCAAGTAGTAAAATAACTGGCATCCAAAAATTCTATACAAATTTAATAACTTCTTCTGAAAGCTTATTGTAGGAGAATAACAATTAGCTGACATTAGCTATTTCTTCTGAAAGAATTAAGAGTGTTTCACCAAACAGTAAATTACAAAAGTTCGCTTTGCTGAGTACTGTCATTCTAACTTGTATGACAGAATTTCTCTCATTGCTAAAGTAGTAACATCTGGTTAACTTTCTAGAGGATAAACGTATCTGATTCTTAATCCCCAAATCCAATAGTTGAATTAAGAGGAAAACTAAAGGAAAAGTAGGTCATAGCTCAGAACTGTATAAAAAATATAAACTTACAACAAAAATGTCTTTTCAAATGTTTTCATGTCTGTTAGTCTGATTTAAATAATGTTGAATTGTTCTGGTGACAGCTTGTTTTTATCAACTTTTAATTAACCACCTTTTAAAGTGAAGAATACTATAACTTCAAATTCCTACTATGTTTCATGAATTTGTTTTTAAGTAAGATATTAACATATCTTATTAATAATACAATTATTAGAATATTAATATTGTATGTTATTAATATATAATAAATATAAAACAGAAGTAACCTGAACTTTTAAAAATAATTTATCTTTGATAACCTCTAATAACCTGTCTTAGCCTTTGGTGAATTTTGTAATGTAATATATTATTCTTCCAGAAGATATTTAGATTAAATAGAAAGTTAATACCTCTAAGTTTAATACACCCATATTGTCTTTTTCATTTTAAATTTTTCTTCCCCCTTAGAACCTAAGATAACTCGTCCTCCCATAAATGTAAAAATAATAGAAGGACTAAAGGCAGTTCTACCATGTACTACCATGGGCAACCCCAAACCCTCAGTATCATGGATTAAGGGGGACAATGCTCTCAGGGTAAGTGATTTCTTATATAAAACACAATATGTATATACAACAGATTTTCAAATACAACAATCCTTTGCAAATTCAGTGACATGACTAAAAATTTCTAGCAAAATATTTTTTATGTATCCAACATTTTAACCAAACTTAACTCTTTCTGTTTCCGTATACACGAACTGCAATGCATTCCAGCTGTGGCTAGCTAGGAAAAAAGAGAAATGAAACCAGTCGTTCTTTTTAGGGATGGAAAAGGAGTGAAACAAAGGCAAAGCAGGAGTCTTTTTCTGTTGGTTGGTTGGTTGGTTGGTTGGCTAGTTAGTTGAATCTTTTACTGCTTACTATGGAATCTTTGAGACTTTGGAGAAATGAAAGACAGAACTAAAATTCAGGCATTAGCCCTGACAGTTTCTGGAAGGAGAGAGAGAAATGAGGTTTGGAAGAAAGGGAGCGAGGACACGCTGGAGTGAAGTCAGCGTGAAGACTTAAGGCTGGTGAACAAGCACCTTGACAAATACCTCAGCCACAAAGAGGAGTCAAATTAAACATGGATTATTCATGCATATCTTACACTGCGTCTTCATCTTTCACCTACATGTACCGGTAAATCGTAACACCGCCTCCTCACGGTCTCTTTGCATCCTTTCTCACCTCTGTGAACACCGTGAGGCCGCAGACATTGTGGTTTTCATTTACTGTGCTCGGAATATTCCACGAAGAATATACAGGTGTTGATATATGTCAATTAACTGAAATGGAGTCTAAAACTGATTAGCTCTGTTTTATTTAAAATAAAACACATAGTGTTGTTTACAGCAACCTATATAATTCTCCAATTTTGCTTTTGCCATAAATATTGATGTATTTCCTACAATGAAAATAAGGGTGGCTTTTTGTATGACATGAACTACAGAGTCCCAGAAAAGAAGATAGATGTAATATTTTAACTTCAAAGACCAATTTTTGTATTAATTGTAGAATTTTCCAATTTTTCCAAATACACATATCCCCCTAAGGATACTTTTATCTTGTGTGCTTTAAATAGGGTATTTCAAAGCGATGCTTTGAATTAAACAGACTTGAGTGTGACTTTCAGGAAATCAAAAAAGCCTTGGTGTCCCCATGTGATAAAAGAAAATAAAAATAAGCTATATTTTATGGGATCAGTGTTAAAACGACTTTAAGTGATCTTGTACTGTCTCATTTAATACTGTATGTTACACATAATAAAAGCCAAATAAATGTTCCAGTGATATTTTTGATGATAACACTGATGATGATGAGATGAAAAATGGCAAATAGGTGCTTGATAAAGCCATGGACATTTAAAAATGCATGTTCCTATCCCTGGCAGGAAAATTCCCGCATTGCAGTTCTTGAATCTGGGAGTTTAAGGATTCATAATGTGCAGAAGGAAGATGCTGGACATTATCGATGTGTGGCAAAAAACAGCCTCGGGATGGCATATTCTAAGCTGGTGAAGCTGGAAGTTGAGGGTAAGGAACTGCACCCCTCTCCCTAGAGTGTCACCAGAGGGCCTCACCTTCTGTGCTCTGAAGGCCGGACTTTGGCAGAGATGTACTTAGTCCAGTTCCCTCAACTGTCCCAGATATTAGGCCAGCAGGGCAAAGCTATGAAAAGAAGAATTAAAAAGAGAAAGAAGTTTTCACCAGTAGAGTAAGTGCACGATCCATCCACAATCACTGGCAATTTTGTCCAAAACAGACTAACTTCATTATAATACTAAAACAATAGGACATCATTTTACAACTTTGGCCTGGCTTGGGCAATTCTCCCTTGAATATAAATTTAAAACCATTCATTTAATCTTTCTCAGCATGTAGACCTGACTTTTAAAAAGAGATTTTAAAAAAAGAAGTAACATTTTTCAGATTGTATTCTGTTACAAAGGGTCGAGAGAAATAAAATACTGACTCAAATGTATAACCAAAAATTGTCCTAGTTTTATGAGGTCCACTGTCAAAATACTGTTCAGTTTTTATTATGTTCTTTAAAGTTCATCAGTTCAACCACTAGTGGTCTTCACTGAGAAATCAGAATCCAGAAAATTCTAGGTGTTCCTGTTCATTTGGCTGTCACATCCTTCTTGACCTAAAATTGCGTCATATTTTTCTTAAAAATAGAAACCACCAGCACGCCTGTGCTAGGTAAACACACTAAGTGTAAACAAACCTCTTCCCAGTTCTTCCTGTTATAAAACTACAGTGTTAACCTCTGGCTCCCAGTTTTCTTATCCACGAAGTGGTGTTTGCTGTGAGCATTCAGTGAGGTCAGGTGTTGATAGTATTTAGCAGAGCATGTCTGATCCTTTGTAAACACTCAATAAATGTTGATTATAAGAATCAGCACCTATTTTTCAGCTGTTCTCTTATCTGATTTAGTGGTTGGACTATCACACATCAGTACAAATTGTAGCTCAATCAGGGAAGACTTCAAGGGTTTGCCAGAGCTTATCTTGAATCCACCCTACTCTCTAAAGTCCAAAATCTATCCTTCCCTACCTCTTTTCCTTCTCAATCATACAGTCTTTCATTAGATCCTTTTAGATTATTTTTATTTCCTAGTTAGACCTTCCTTTCATTATGAGAATTAATGATCTCATTTTCCACATTTGCTTCTAATTGAGGTAACATTTTTATTATGTCATTGTATCAATTGCTCAAAAAATTTTTATTAATGCCCCATGAAAAAGAATGAGGTTGGTGGGAATAGTAGCTGTCAAATGTAAAAAAAGGTACGCTTTCAGCGTAGTTGCTATAGTTTAATATCTTCTAAATTGGTAATGCTAATTAAAGCTCAGTACACAATAAGCAGCTGATGTGACTTATTCAATGTAAAACAAACAAACATACAAACACACTGAGTCACACATTCAGACACACTGAATATCTGCCCGGATTCAGTGTCTCCTTGAACTATTTTAGGAATTATGCAGAAGGAATGTTACCCATCTGTATATAATATCACAAAGACCTTTCTCTTTAAGATATTAAGTATCACAAACTCTCTTTATTTTCATACTGTTGCTTAGGTTGCTGTCTTCAGAGATACTGAAATTATTTTGTTTAGCTTTGGCCTAGAGAAAAT